TATATTTATATGTGTGTGTGTATATAATTAAAGGCTTTATATTTATATGTTTATATATTTATATGTTTATATATTTATATGTTTTATATTTATATGTTTATATATTTATATGTATATTTATATGTTTATATAATTAAAGGCTTTATTTGCTCACACTCACGGGGCGAACACGCGAACCTCGCGTCCCTCCAGTGGGGACTCTGCATGACTCCCGGCCAGAAGATCGGCGTCCGGCCCGGGAGATCCGCCAGGGGCTTCGGGTACCGGGCCACGGCCACCGCCGCGGCGCTGGGGCTGAAGTAAAGTCCGGGAGGCGGCGGCGGGCTGAGGCTGCTGAAGCGGGGCAGCCCCGACAGGATGCCCGCCGCGGAGGAGGCGGAGGCGGCGGCCACCGTGGCCCCGGCGATGGTCGCACTGGGCCGGCTGAGGATGTCGTTTATTCCGTGGGGGGTGGCGGAGGAGCACTGCTGCGGGGAACCGAGCCCCGAGGACAGCCCCGTGGAGGAGCTCTTGATCCCGGGGGAGGACACCGCCATGCCGCCCGGGTTGGGGGACGTGGTGGCCGGTGAGGTAGAGGAGTTGGGGCCGGTGGAGGAGAGCGGGTAGGCCGGGTACAGCGGGGTCTTCATCTCGGTCATGCTGTGCAGAGCTGCCAAAGGGGGGGTGCTGAGGAGGAAGGCGCTCTGTCGGGACCCGTCCATCTGACCCACCGCTAACATTACCACCGATCTGCAGGATCCGGGACCGGGTTCTTCTCTGGGCTCTTCAGGGGCCCCTGCGCACCTCACACACTGGAACTAAACAAAAACCCGGTCCCCTCTGGAGTCACAGCCCATCTCAGGCTCACAGCAAAATCCCAAACTCCCTGAAATAAAGCTCCAAAAGCAGGTCCCCGGATCCAGGACCCCTCTGAAAGCAGGACTACAGGAACCAGGACTACAGGAACCAGGACTATCAGGACTACAGGAACCGGACTGTGCTGCTGCAGAAGTTCTAGAGATAATAAAACCGGATCATCTGCTCCTGCTGTCTATCACACAGTCCAAACTTTGAGAGGAGGACCGCGGGAGGGGGGGCACGAGGCGCCTCAGTCCGGATTGGGTGACCCCGCAGTGACGTAGGGCCGGGACCGCCTCCTGATTGGCTGAGAGGGTCGGCTCTGATTTGCTGGAAGAGACACCATCAAAGAAGAAAGAATTCATATTTCATGGAGTTCAGAAGAAGAAAAAGAGAGATTCAATTATTCCAGCAGCTGTTTACAGGATATTGATTGATTATTGATTGATTATTCAAGGATTCATTTACATCTTTAACGAGGTTTAAAATGAACAAACTGCAATATTTTTTAATTCTAAAGAAAAGTTCAGTTTATTCTTCAACCTGAAAACAAATAATCAGCAAATCAATTGATTGTCTGATCATCATTTACTCAACAGAAACATTTCAATCTTTAATTAAAATGTCAGTAAAATGTTTAAAATGCACAGACGGGATTTCACAGATGTTTGTTGGTAATATTTACTGATGTAGAATCAAAAGAAACAATTAGATATCACAGTGTTTCACCGTTACAGAAACTTTAACCTGTTTACAGTCATAAAGACATTTTTTACAGTGTTGGTGATTTTCTTTATATAAACCAAAAACATTTTATAGTTAATATTCATATTTTATTAACATGTGACAGATTTATTCTTTTGATGGTAAAAACTATTTATAATAAAATACAGAACTGAATTAATTTTACTGTAATAATAAAAGTTTTTTTTACAGTGAATCTTTTATTGAAATTGATCAAAATATTTCTGCCTGTGTGACAGTAACAACTTAATCTTTTCTTTCTCTGAATAAAGAACGTGTGAAACATTATCAATATTAATATTTTCATTATTGATCAATCGATTAGTTGTTTGGTCCATAAAATGTTGATCACAACTCTTCAAACATCTCGTTCATAAAATAAGATTCAGTTTATTGTCACAGACGACGAAAGAAGCAGAAAGTATCTGACCGTCTGAAATCAAAGATTATTGATTATCAGAATAGTTGCTGATTAATGTAATAGTTGACAACTTATCAATCAATTGTAGCAACTCTATAAACTCTGATAATCTGAAGACCTTGAATGCAGCATCAGCAGGTCTCCAGGTGGACGTATTGATCAGTTATTAGTTATTAGTTCATCCATTCTCTGGTTTATGTGAAGAATTAATATCACAGAATATCTTCAGACACCTGACTGTGAACAACTTTCACTATTATCTGTCAATCAGAATCAATAATCAATAGATGAATTGGTAATAAGTTAAACAGTGACTGAACAAATGTATCCACAATAAATCATAAAATATCTTTTAATAAACTTTAATATCCTTCATTCAGATTCTGATCATCTGTATGTTATTTTACTGATCATGTGACTCATCAGTGTGGATCAATAACTGTCTGACATTTAATTAATTTATTAATGTCATTAAGAATAATAATCATTAAGTGGTTGTGGAGTTCAATCAGGTTCCTGACACACTGACGCCCCCTGCTGGTCCCTGAGAGAGCTGCACAACATAGTTCAAACTAGCTCTGATTATTGATTATCACTGATTATTGATTATCACTGATGATCAATCTAATAATGTCACACTGAGTCAGAGACATACTGCACTGCATGAACTTTTACTGCTGACACTTTTATAAAGCTGATAACTTTATTTGGATTTTTATAGCAGAACGTTAATTTGTAATCGAGTATTTTTATCCGTTACAGTATAAAGTTACACAGTTCAGATATTGAGAGATTAAACTACTGAAGGATCTATAATGTTTATATCTTCCTACGCTGCTTGTATTAAATTCAATATTCCAACGGTTTCATTAAGATGTTCCTTTATTGATCCTCTTAGAGGGAATTCAAACTGCTAAAGAGTAAAGAAATATATAAAATATAATAAAACACATGAAATATATACATTATACACAACAAGGTAGAATATAGTGAACATGTGTATCTCTAATATCAAAGAGATCAAACAAAAGACAGACTTAGATTTAGACTTCACTTTATTGATCCCTTTGGGATGACTCCCTCAAGGAAATTGAACGTGTGAAAACACACACGTCTCATCTAATATGACTCCTATAAGTAATATTAATATGTAATATAATAACCAATATATATAATAGTCCTTAAAGGCACACAATGTATTATATTATGTTTATATATATTTCTTATCTCTCACTCTCTTTGTGTTACATCCTGAACGGCTGTAAGTGAATTTCCCTGATGTGGGATCAATGAAGTCTAAATGATCTTCTATTATCTTATCTTCAAATAGCTCAAAATAACCTCTCAAAGTTCATACAATTATATAAAATAATAATAATAATAATCAGAAATAATTTATTGTTTTGTTACAGTTGCTCATAAGATATTGTAGAAATAGAAATAATAATAAGAAGAAGAACATTAAAAATATGTATTTGTATATATTATAATATCTAACAAATATATAAAAATATAAAATACAAAATATTTAAAAAAAGAAAAATATAATAAGAATTAAAGTATGTACATTATAATACAATGTATGACAATATATAGAAGATATAAATATAATAACAATAATAATAAAAATAAATAAAGTATAAATAAAGTTTATCTTAACTTTATTTATACTATAATTGTATTTATTCTGATATTGTCTTGTTAATAGTTCCAGATTATCCTTTGTCACTGACTCCATACCCACCCTGTATATACAGTATGCATTACATTAATGCACCGCTTTCTCTTCTTATCTTATCTTTCTTATCTTCATCTATTTATATTTTGAAAGTACTTTATTTTTCTATGTGATTTCTGTGTGATTTGTATAATTGTATATTTGTATATTTGTATATTTGTATATTTGATGCACCAACTGCACCAGGTCACATTCCTACTTGGCAATAAACAAATTTGTGACTGTGATGTTTCCACGGAGGTGTGTTTGTGTGACAGCGCCCCCTGCTGTCCGACCGCAGTCAGTGCACCGAGCAGCAGCGCCTCCTCCCGGCCGCCAGGGGGCGGTGAATGTCCCCGGAGCACTAAAGAGCAGCGCGGTATCCGGTTCTTCCTCTTCCTTCCGCGGCCTCAGAGGTAGGAGACATTCCCGCTGCTGGAGCCGACAATCTGCGTTAAATCTGCTCTAAATCTGCTCCATCCTGCCTTTTAAACGTTTGCTTTCTGTTGATTTACCGTTCAACACACCGGAGGATGCTGAATGTTTGTTTATTGATCCGTAGATTCTGATTTATTGAGATATTAGTGAGGATGCCGGTTTGCTGCTCCGCCATGTTGGCTGCGTTACACGATAAAACTAAAACTACTGCAGAAGAAAAACGATCGTTTCTGCGCATGTGCTGCGTTTATTAATGTTTATTAATGTTTATTAATGTGTATAATGTTTTATTGTTTATAATGTTAATTGTTGTTTCTCGTTAATTCTCAGTAACTGGAGGTTTGTTGGTGCTAACGCAGCTAACAGGAGTCATGAGGAGTGTGATTATTGATTATGGATCGATAAAGCTGATTATTGATTGTTTTGTTGCAGATATCTGAAAATGGTCCGCTACTCTCTCGACCCAGAGAACCCGACTAAATGTGAGTGAAGCTGCTCTGTTGTTGTGGCTGTGATGACTTCTTAGGACACCTTTAGATTAAAGATGAAACTGACTGAAGATCTGAGCCAACGCACTACTACACACTATTACACACTATTACA